GGGGGGGGGGGGGGAGTGGGGGGCCAAGCTTATCTATGATACACTGATGCTCTTCGGCGGGGGTCTTTTTACTTCTTTTTCTTGGCCAGCATTTTCCGCACGTGTGCCGAGAACTCGGCTTCCGAGCATGCCGTCTGGATGAAGGGGTGCTGCAGAAGCTGGTCCGCGGTGTACCGTTTCTCCACCTGTGTTTGTCGAAAGCAAGGTGCGCGTTTGTTTTGGGTTGTGCGATGAGGAAGAGAGAAAAAATGCAACAAGAAGCTGGTTAGGACGGTGAGCAGGGACAGCAACAGCAGCCTTACGGGAAGCTGCTCCCGCCCGCAAGCGGAGGGAACAAAAAAAAAAATCGCGGAAAACGTCACAAGTCGGGAAACATGGACGGCGTGGATGTCATCTACGCCCAAAACGTACCGATGTGGAGTAAGACATTAAAAACAAAAAACGCCTACGGTAAGCGTATCGTACTTGACAAGCGCCCGAAAAAAAGGCAAGCACGGTGCAAGTGCAACCAAGAGAGCAGACCAACCTCTACGTCGAGAGACGACGCCAGGAAGTGGATAAACCCTTGCGACCACTTGTTGGGGTCCTTCAAGCGTGGCGACGGGTTGATGCTGATGAGCAGCAGCGCGCGGAGCGGCGGCTCGTGCAGCAGCGGCGGCTCCCCCTCGGCCATCTCCAGCGCCGTGATGCCCATGCTCCATACATCCACCTGCCGAAACGCACCGTGGGAAAGGTAGATAATGAGCGAAATGTAGCAAGGAGCGGCGGGGTCAGAACCGATTGTTGGTGTAAACGTGAAGAGGGATCTGACCGAGACCGGAGGCATCTATCGGCCTCCAAGGCACAGCGACATCCCCGACAAGAGAAACAACAACAAAAATGATTTCGCCAGCAGGCGTGAAGAAAACGCCGAGCATGCCGCCGGTGCATATGCCGAGGAATTCAAAACGCGAGCGAAGGAGACCATTATGGTAGCAACACAAACTAACCCTACGTTTCACAAAAAATCACGGTCAATCCACAGGACGCACCGGCCGCATACGCCACACCGCCGTCAACTTCAAACCCCATACAGTAGTAAGAGGTGAATAGATTTGTGTAACCGTACTGACTCCAATACAATGAAACACAATCTATAGGGTGTACTGTATGCACACTAGATCCAGCATAAAAAGTATCACAGTCTGAAACTCCTTACAACAAAGTGCGACACTGCATCACTTATCACCTTCCCGTCGTACTCCAAGCCCTTGATTATCTCCGGGGCCATCCAATACGGCGTTCCCACAACACTAGCCCGCTTGTCCTGCTCCGCGGTCAGCGCAGCTGCGAAGCCGAAGTCCGCAAGCTTCACGTTCCCCTCCATGTCTACCTGTCAAAGGCAAAGCCAGTGGCGACAGCAACAGCAACGTGACAGCTGAGAAAACAACCGAAAAAACTCGCGGACTAGTGAGAAACAGACCTTGGAAAAAGCAACAAGCTCTTCTCTAAGCGTGGAATGTTTCGTGTTTCCAAACCAAGTTGCATGGTAAAGACTCTGGTGCCTCTTGGTATATGTAGATGAATGAAACCCTCTAGATACTGAAACCGCAGCTCATGGACACACCCACTTTTTGCAACCCTTTCGCGAAAGAGAACGAAAAGGACAAGAGAACGGGAGGAGGGGGGAATGACTACAACAAGGAATCGCAACGCGAGCGTCCCGTCTCACCAGCACGTTATCGCTCTTGATATCCCTGTGCAGGCGGAACTGGTGGTGCATGAAGGCCAAGGCCAGCAAGATCTCCCTGCAGACGTAAGCGATGTACATCTCCTTGAAGTCCACGGTGGTGCCCAGCGTGTCCGTCAGAGATCCGCCCTCCATGAGGTCCATGGCGATCACCACCTGCCCCGGGCGGGGAAACAAAAAACCACGGGCTCTCTCGTCGGTGGAACATTTCCAATTTCCTGTGGACTTTCCGACAAAACTCTGCTTGTAATCAAGGCGCTACCAGACATGCAGGCGTGAGCACGGAAGATGACATCACGGGCGACAACATCGAGCAACCGCTATCTTGCGTGTGAGAACCGGCCGGGTTTATTGGTAGCAGTGACGACGGCAATGGTGGGCTGGCTTAGTGCATCATGCATTCCGCGGAGGCGGTGTGTCAGTGATGGCGGGTCCAAAGCAGTCACACGTACCATTCAATCTTGCTCTTAAGCATCAACCGATGTCCACTTGATCACGCCTTTCTAGAAATCAAAACGCACTATTTAGCTTTGTGGCACACCTACCATCACGCGCATACCAAGGAGGGAGCAAAAAAAACAAAATACAAAGGCCCAACCGAGTGAAGCGGGAACAGGGACAGCAGCGAGGCAAACGGTCCGGAAACATGGCAACCAAGTGTCTCAAGTCACCGTACACAAAACACAAGCAACACTGGTGCTCTCTCCTTCCCTCCCTTACCTCCGTCTTGGTGACAAACGCTTCCCTCAACGTGACGATGTTGGGGTGCTTGCTGAGGCACTGCATGCCGATCTCATTCTTTAGGTCGTCCATTTCCGCCACGGGACAAAACTTCAACGCGCACCTCTGCTTGCAGCGAGAGCGGGGGTGCACCAAACAACCAACAATAGCGGCGAAACCATGCCACGTGGTAAGACAACACCAACATGAAACATACATGATGCCATTGTAGAGCGGCGACTTCAACATGCTTCGCGTTTGGGCTTGTGCTAGGAAAGGAGGGAACGCCGAAGTCACAATTCTTGAAACAACGAAAGAGAATATTTTCAACGGATAGCTCTTCGCTGATGCGGCGTGCTTAAAAAAAACGTTGCGCCGCAACGGAGTCCTACCAAAGAGCAGCTTGTTCTACAGACACGAGCTATCCAGTTGGAGGTGTTTGACCACGGCAATGGTTATGGTGGCGACTACGTATGCACACGATCCCGCGAGCGGACACCCTGGGCGTCCCTGACCTCCCCGTCCACGGAGACTCCTTGCTCCACAACCAAAACACAACGTCAAGATGGCGGACGCCTTTACTTCAGATAAACACACAATCCCTCCGCCCGGGTGGGGGGTGCAGAGGAAGTACACCCATACGGCACCACATGAACGCACGCACGGACGAAAGTCACGCAAATCTACTCGCCTCCCCTGTCCGCACGTCCGTCCCCACGAACACCGTCCCGCTCGCGCCCTGGCCTAGCTTTCGCATGTCCGTGTAGAATTGCATCGGGTCGTCCTTCTTGAGCGGCATCGCCTGAGGGGCAAGGCAGGTAGATGGAAGCAGGGCGTCACGGTGATAACATAGATATTGGGACCAAAGGACATGCCACCCCATGCGCCCCGCAAAAGCGAACAAATTTGAGCTACTGACGATGGACGATGGTATCTACGATATGTGTTGTCATCCCCAGCTACTCTGGACGACGCTGGACATGCACCTTTCGATCGCGCCAGCCGGGTTTGCACGCCAGGAGGAAGGCCGCAGTCCTACCGAGTACTGAGGTCTACTCGCGTCCTGCTAGTGATTATTTACGTCCGATTGGATATTGAACTGTAACTCCCTCCGCACCAGGATGTGTCACACACCGTGGCCGACCCCACTCAAACCTAACCCTCACCCACGACCAACGGACGGCCTGACGGCAGAGAGAACTGGGCGAATACGCGGCGTGCGCAGCCGCGTTCTCGGAATGCGGAACAGAGGGAAGGCCCTGGAGAGATATCGACCGCTAGAACCAGCGCTTGATCAGTCAGAGGGCGTTAAAAGGCAATAGAGAGGAAGAGTCTCCCAAAAAACACTTGCTAGTGGATTGATTTGACTAACCTCAGTAACTGTCTTGGCAATGGCCTCCTTGGAAGGCATCTTCGGCCGCTGCGCCTTGGCCTGCGGCCCGTCCATGTGGAAGGCCAGAGCGTCTAGGACTGCCTGTGGGTGCTCCACCACCTCCTCCTTCGTGATCCCCGAGGCCTTGAGCACCACGTGCCAGTCCGACGGGAGCCCCGTGAAGCCTTGGNTACGCTCCGAAGCTCACAATTCTTGAAGCCTCTGGCTGTGTCCCGTGGCGACAACACGACCCTCTTGAAGAGGCTCGACAGGAACCCGCTGTGGGTTACCTAGAATGCAGAAGTCGGGGGGGGGGGGGGGGGGGGGGGGGGGGTTGGGCAGGCGACAAACCGATGACGTTAGATACAAACAACGACGACGATACGACGACGAGGGATACATCGAGAACACCTCCACAACGACGGTTCGCTACGGGTGTTCACACCCCCTGACCTGTGCTAGAGCGGGAGTCGGGCTTGACGTGGGTCACGTGCTGGACGTTAAACGGTGCTCCGATAACGGAGCCCACCGATGGCTCCTCCGGCTCCTTGCTGTCGTTGCGCCCCCACAACCGGAACCGTCGCTTGGCCTCTACGGTAGGAACCTGCCCGGCACGGACAGGGGCAACGGACCAGCGCGCGACAAGACAAACGTTAAAAAAACAAACAACACGAGAGACGTAAACAGCGATGAGACAACAGGCAAGTTAAGATCAGCGCCGGTGGAGTTGTTATTGGAAGCACAGGGACGAAGAGGGGAATGGAAAACAACGCAACGTGGCGTAAAACCCGGTACACGCCCCGTCAACATGCATCGCACGGTACCAACACCTAAACACCCACCCACAGAAGAAATCGGTACGGAGTGCGGCACCGGCGGCGGAACGGGAGACAAGCAGCGACGAAGACAAACCGCAACCAGCGGTGTATATCCTCACCGGAGCGGCGATGTGTGAATTTCCCCTGGCGTGCTTGGGGCTGACAGCTGGCGCGGCCTTCGTCTGGACCGCCGTCCCCTCGGGCAGCAGGTTAGCCCATGCTTCCGGCATTCCCTGCCCACGTTGTCGTGCGAAGGAACATAGACATAGAGAGAGAGAGAGAGAGAGAGAGAGAGAGAGAGAGAGAGAGAGAGAGAGCGAGAGCGAGTCATCGGATCGCAGCTTATTTCGTGTGTTCTTGTTGCGGAGGATGCCGTTATTGTTGCTGCTGCTGTTATTGCTGCTGTACGTTGTGTGCTTGGGGTTCCCCGCTTGGTCTTTCCCGAAGAAGCATGCCTTAAACGACGACAGTGTACAAGTATGCTCATCAGACCTGCAGCCGTGTACACCGCGGCAGTTTGTCCTCCCATGGCCCGAAAGATTCCGGAATGCACCTCATAGCTCTTCAGTGAAAAATGACAAATGAATGAGTTTCCGAGGTCAACCAGCTACCATAAGAAAAATACCCAACAAAAACAACAACAACATACTAAGGGGGAGCCCCTCTCTTCACGCTGTATGAGGGACAAGAGGTTTCTACAAAATGGCAGCCCAAAGGACAGAATATCAGGGCACATAAGTGGGGCAGAAAACGCCAAGAAAGGGATATGGGCGATACGAAACCATCCCAGCGGTGTGGGAAGGACGGCTTTTGTGAAAATTTCAAGTCTGCGTGTTGCCAATGTTCCGTAAAGGTGAGCGTGCTTACTGCCAATGTTCCTCTCAAGGTAAGCATATGCCTTTTCCGTTGTCCCTCTCAAACTAAGCGTGCGTACTTCCGATGTCCCTCACCTTGAAAGTACCTGAAGCAGGGTCCCATTCGACATGCAGATGCTTCTGAACATCTGGAACATGACCACACGGAGGGGAGGGGGGGAAGACACGGGGAAGCGAGCACGTCGAATCAACCAACACTTCATCACCGGAGGAGGGGGTATCCCTCTCTCTCTCTCTCTCTCTCTCTCTCTCTCTCTCTCTCTCTCTGCCCCCACCCCCGACTCCCTCCCCCAGGGAGCGAATACTCCCACGTGCTGCTCTCAGACCCATCTTATCCTCAAACTACTTGTATTATTAGGTGGACGCTGCTACCTCGGCGCGACTTCGAAAGACAGGAATTCCAGTGGGAGGGTGAGCAGGACAAGACACAACAAGTGTGCGTTTCGTTTCGCGTCTCACCAACAGTAACACTGCGCGATGTCTATTTTAACTGGCCAATTTGTCAGCATATGGCATTGTCGCGTCAATCTTTCGTGTCTTGTCTTGAGACAACGAGCGTTGTTTGAGAAACGCACTAAAATACGGCATTGCTGGTCTGTGCAATAGAACCCACACATTAGTCTTAAGCCTAACAGCTTCTTCCTCGTGGGTAGCTTCGTGTGCGACGCCAACATCAAGCACTACAACATGCGCCCGCGCTTAAGGCTGGGGCAATCGAATCGAGCCTTGAAAGTCGGTCAACTGGGGGTGCCATCTCTCCGCCTTTTGCGGAATACCACGGTACGGTATACGGTACGGTGGAGACAATCTTGGTTGTGGAGCAATCGAGCTTTGAAAGTCAGTCAACGGGGGGTGCCATCTCTCCGCCTCTTACGGTAAACGTGATTTGATGGCGCGGACGGTATCTTACCAGTGCATGGTATGCAGGTTGGTGAATTCGTGTGGGGGGGGTTCCTTGAATACAACGATAATGAGGTACATGCCCCATTTTCCCGGCACGGGGGCAAAAAGAAACTTCGTTTTGTTGCTCTCCGTAGACCCAGTACGAGGCAGGTTCGAACCTTGGGTCGTGCATTTTGTTTTTTCATCCGCTTTTTTTTTCCTTTTTTTTCTATTTTGCCCCTCGATTTTCGTCCAAATGGGGGCAAAAATCGCGTCTGTATGTCAGATAGTGACTAAATCAACCCGGATGACAACAAAAATTTGCATGGTGTCTATTCTAGGGGTGCTTGCCACGATGCCGAAGAAAAAACGGGCAAAAAACACTTAAAATCTCTTTGCGTGGTGCCCAAAGTAGGCCATTTTTGGCCCAAAAACAGGCAAAACAACACGGGGATTTCTTGGTTTCGTCCCCGGGCATGCATGTTTTTTTAAATATGTTTTTCGGAAATGCTTTATATTACTACCATGACGATACATGCCAAAGGAAAAGTTCTGGAAATCATTAGAACGTGCGCAATCACTACGAATTCGAAGTGGTCCTTAATCGGGGCATTTGTGTTTTACCGGTATTCTTCCCTGACAAATGAAGAATACTACGCTGGCACCATGTCATCACCACATGCATTTTTTTTGTTTTTTGTTGTTTCATCGTTTAGGTCGTGCTATAAGCTAGCGTTCGATACCTCTCTGTCGCCACAAATCGTCAAGACACCCGATAACGACCTCTCAGAGCGGGGGCACCGTTAAGTGGTTCTTAATCGGCACATTTACTCTAGACTTTTTCCTTCACACGAAATGTGTCAACGGAACACATTTTAAAGGGCGCGCGGAATACATGCCGCAATATTGTTTCGTTTGTATCGCGCATACACTAGGCACTCACATGCTTACATACACCCGTGGACTCGATTCGAACCTGCCTTCTCCCTCACAGCTGTGGGGGACAGCGTGGTTAGGGGACGGCGGAGGCACGAACGGCATAGGAAGAACTTCACAAGGTTCACCATTTCGCACACGGCCATGTGGTGGCTTCCCTACTCGACCGTGAACGACCCAACGTTGAGCAAGAACATTCCCATAATTCAGTGCTTCGGCTCGGAGAACAGTGCTTGTGTGTGGATGCCATCTCCCATCTGACGGCAACAAAAACAGGGACAACAAGCCTAGTCTTTACTCATTCGAAAGCAGACCGCCAGGAGGGTTGAAGCAGCATACTGTACCCAGAAATTGAAGGTGGTTGCCTCCCTAACCTGTCGGTTCCGATATGAACTGAGCGCTGGTTTTGATCCCCTCCCCGTCCGATAGACCTTCATCATCGCCAAGGCTGCCGAAGCTATCCGCCATTGTGCTCGTGTGTGTCTCTGCCTCGTGCTCGGCTCGTTGCTGGTTTGCTGTTTGTGTCTCGTGTGTTTTCGGGCAGGAGGGTCCGCCATTTGTTAAGCGGTACGGGTATGTTCAATCCACGGAGCCCCGAGCATAGTTTTTCAGGAACAAGTGACCTGACTCGTCGCAGGGGAGCTGCCCGTGCTACTTAAGCTTCGAGACTACTACTACAGCAGTAGACCAGTAGACCCACGAAAAATCACGGGCTTAAATGACGGCCAGGCAACTGGTTACTACTCTGTGTCGCAACATGTCGGCTGCAAACACCAGGTCTGCAGATGTCGTCGCCGGCAAATCGTTCGTATCGTGCTCAAACGGTATTAGTATCTTCACGAAGGTGAGAGCATTAGACTATCTGCAGGTATGGTGCTGCTGTGAGTAGCTCCACCGCATCCAGTTTGTGCTATTGCAGAAGACAAGTGAGAGTTCGTTGTCTCTCTTTGTTCAACTGAGGAGAAGAGACTGCGTGTAGGTTGAGCAATAGAGAGACAACACAAATTGCATAATTGCATTACATGATGTCGGAAGCCTGAGACGCAAGAGTTCAACCATGGTTGCAATCTAGAATCAAGACGTTTTTTTTCGGTGCATCAGTTCGCGGTCGCCGCGAGACTTTTTTCTTCGACGGCTGTTGCCCGCTGCAGCGGGCCAGTCTCTGGATCACAGCGACCCTGTCGCGAGCTCGAATCTCCAAAGGCGAGTAGAGTTACAGCACGGCGGTGAATGCACGCAACCACTATATCAGTCATTGAGCTAGACGTTGCGGTCCGGTTGATCGGTTTCGGTGTTCTTTGTCCCTCGTGTCTAACTTGGAACGTTTCCACACGGTTTGTTGGTGGCCAGCTCCCCTCGTTCCGAGTACAGTAGAGGTCCCTGTTCAAGGCCGCCCTGTGACAGACGAAATGACCGGCCTTAAAGAGGGCACCCGGCCTTATTGGAAACGGGTCTTGTTTAAGGCCGGTACCGGCGTTATTGAGGAATACTGATGCTGCACTCAAGCCTTTCGGGAAGGTGGCGGGCCCCAACGTGTCTGAAGGCTCGCAGGATGCACGTTATACATATGCACACGTCGTGACAAAAAATGATGTTGCATGTTTCCAAATATAACTTGCTGCCGTAGTAGCTGACGTCCACAAAAATATGTATTTCACTTGGTACGTGCGAAGTATCTCATCGAGTGGCTCCCTCGTGAAGGTCGACAACAATCTGCCAATCCTGATCACAATGAGAGGACGCCCACAGCAAAAAGTCCAACGATCTGCACAACACAACAACCATCGAAAAATGCACATGTTGCACCAGCTGACCAACTGGTGCTTAGCCGTCAAACACAAAGTTGACAAAAAAAATCGAACAGCCTGACCTCTCTACCCCCTGATACACTAACAACGGCACACGAAAGTTGAAAATACAAGGATGAAACCGGACACGACACCGGACCCAGGAGAACCACTCAACTGACAACTCCCCCCATGCGCCTATCGAGTCTACAAAAATTGTCTCATGTCTGTCTGCCTCGCTGCCTTCGAACCATGCGCTGCGATCATTGCGATTTTGGCCTTCTGTAGATGGAAAGCGGCGTCACGGTTGCCGCTCCCCTCCGCTGCCGTCTCCGGAGCCCCGATGTGCGACGAAAGTGCCGCGTACGGCGGAGGTGCCATATGACTTTAGGGTTCCTCGCTTGCTTCGTCGTCCGAGCTCTCCTCCGCGGGAGCCGTGCCATGAAGCAGCTCCGTCATCTCGTCCACGGCGTCCTGCTGCACGGCTTCCACAACATCCGGCTGGTCCTCCACCGTCGCCCACACTTCAGCCGCTCGCACAGCGGCAGCATCGGCGGGCTCTCCCGCAGTGATGCCCAGGGCCGCCAGCATTTCTGTCAACTCCGTGTCAACACCGTAGGACTTCTCCTGTGCTTCATGCACCCGTGAGCTCATGCTGGTGAGGGTCTTTGCGAGAAGATCCACAGACTCCTTGTCTGCACGCCCCAGCACTGGCCCTCCCGCCGGGGCCGCGGAGCCACTTGGCCTGTGCTTCCCGTGCGCAGCCGTAAGCTCAGCCTCCATATCTTCGGGGAGCGTCTTGGCCTTCACGAAGCACCTGGTGGGCGAGGTGCGGGGAAAGCAGCGGCACATTCGCAATAGAGAGGGTGTCGGGCACAAGAAACGAGGACATCTGTTGGCAAACGAGTTATCGAGCGATTTCAAATTCATTTGTCTTTCTCACAGCGACACGAAACAGCTAAGGGGGTTCAACCCTGGCACACAATTATACATCAGATGGACACCGGTTTCTACCTTTGCAGATGGACGAACCGGACACCACTTGTATTTTGGAAGCAATACCTGGCGATGGTCGTGGGGGTGATGCTGTCCCAGGAGGTCTTGAGAAGGTCTGCCGCGTCCAGCACGTGGGGGTGGTTTCCCTCCGCCAAGCCCGCGGTCCCGCGCGCCATCTTGCGGCTCTTGGCCTCGGCGCGCAGTGCATGAGCCACGAGCATGGTTGACACCTTGGCGTC